CAGACAAGAGAAGATTAGAAAAAGTCTGTCTGGTCCGACCAGTCTGATCATGTCTGCAGCGCCTTTTCAGATGGCAAGGTCAGAATTTGGTGTTAACAACATGAAAGCATCAATCCATCCGACCTTGTGTTATAGTTCAGGCTGCTGCTGCTGCTGGTGATGCAATGGTGTGGGGGATAATGTTTTGGCAGACTTTGGGACTCTTAGTGCCAACTGAGCATCAAGCAAACCAACAGCCTGACTCTGTACTAGTGCTGACCACAGCTACTCCGTTCTGGACACAGTGTGCCAGTCTTCTGATAGCAGCCTCCATAATGGATGCTTCTCTATCGTCCAGCTCACTCAAGAGAATCAATAAGTCATTAATTAAGATTGTTTTGTCAGGTTACTAAAGCTTGAGTTCATCACCAAGACTCAAAAACACCACATTTGAAGACACATAGTGTGTTGACTGTTTGTCTTAAAGACAGTGTAAAGTACAGTACTTGAGTAAATGTAGTTAAATTTTTACCAATGTTAAGTTGTGCTTCCTGCTGCTAACATCTCCCAATATCATTCTGTATTACACTTTCGTGTGGCTTTATCTCTTATATATGTTAATAATTAGATACTAGTGGCTGGATGCCAGATACTGTGGCCTTACTTCATTTACAGTAAGAACCACTGCTCTATTTTGCAATCCAGCATGCAAGTAGATACTCTTTATATGTCGCTGCTACATTGTTATGATTTGCGATGCAATTTTCACTTACTAAAACTGGTAAAACAGGAACAACGTGAGTCTTGAATTCTTTTACCATATTTGAACACTACACTACATAATATAAGCTTAGATCAATAGTGTTGTCTCAGCACTTGAGATTTCCTGACTTTTGATTGGCATTACAAAGCATTGCCTGTGACTGTCATTTATTTATAATTTAATCACAATCTGTTTTTAAATATGTAAATTATGCTAAAATATATTTAAACTGGGATTTTTTTAGGCTTTGCTGAAAGCTGAGCCATAAATTAAGGCAACTTTTAGCCGTGCCTCCTTCTGCAAACTGTTCTTTCCAGGGCACCTAATCTGCAACAGAAGACAAAAGGGTACACGCCCTATAGTTTCACTGTAAATGCACGTCATTACGTCTGAGCACTCCAGAGACAAATCAAAGTTCAGGGAGAGAAACAGGGACGGAAGCATAGGTTTGAAGTTCATGCATGTTTCCTTTCATACATGGTACGCCTCCACCTGTGTTTTCTTACATCAGTCAACATGTGCCAAACAGATATCTCAGCTCAGATCAACGGACATGGAAGTGCAAGCTGAGCATATTTAAACAGAACTCCTCCCTCTAAAAACGAACTAGCTTTATCAAAGCTAGCAAACACTCATTGTTGCTTGACTGAAATGTATGCACTGGTGTTATTTTTTCCTAGATGTGCTCATCACCTACAAGAATAGAATAAAGCATGCGTTATTTCAAGAAACCTTTGCAGCAACATCCAAAACCCCTTTCCTCTTTCTCTTGCCTGATTGGTCTGCAGCACAGAGACCTTTGGATGCCATTAACATAAGATGAGGTCATACTATCGAGTGGCATCAAGTCATCAGTGTGAAACATGTGCTACAAAGGCATGAGTAAGTGTTGTGCAGTCATTTGACAGAGTGACCACAACCGTCGAGCGGCTGGCCATCAGGGAGACTTTAATTTAAAAAAGGCGATGGATATCATCGGACAAGCTGTTTGTTCTGAAGTCTATTACTAGTCAACACACTGAAGGATGTGGGAGGTTGTGATGTTCACTCATCTAGCCTCTTCGTCACAATGGACGCGCTTTCCATCTGGAGTGTGATTCGGTTACCAAACCTGCAAATCTTTATTCAGTGCAAAAACACTGGTTCAACCATAGTGCTGCAAGAGTGAACAGCAAGGGACTAACATCAGTGGATGTTGATATATTTAAGCGTGGCCAAATTAGAGTTCATTACAGCTTTGCAGAGTCAAAGATGACATCCTGTCGTGTTTGATGAAATGTCAAAAAAAAGATATTACATGAAAAAAGGCAGCTTAAACTCATCTGAGAGGGTAGATTATGAGAATATCTGCCTTACAACCACAGGAGATTATGAGCTATCAAAAACGACTGATAGTCCTATGCAGTTTTCAGTTTACTGGGTACGCGAGCAAAAGCTAATGAAATTTTCCAACGTTTGCAACTGTTAGACTTGTTAGATTTAATTAAAGTGGCAGTTTGTTTGTAGTTCATGAAGGTACTGAACCCTAACAGGTGTTACTGTTCATTTATATCATGCATCTTACGTCTCTAAGCAACTTGTCTCCATAGTTTTCTCCTGCTGCAGAGTCATTCCAGCTCTCAGAGGTTGCTGCCAGGCTTTAATGCATTCTGCAGAACTTGTCAATTTGTAGACCATTAACTGTCCTGCACTGTTCATGGAAACTGGAAGTTGCATGCCCACTTAGGACTTAAGGAGAACTAATGAGATTCAACATGCAAGTTTTCTCTGTTAACTGCTTTGTCTCGAACATGTCAGCAATCAGTGAAAAACCGCTCTTGTTTTTTCAGTTTTAAAAGTCGTACGGTGTTTATATACTGCACTGCAGATAAAGAAACATCAAGTCTGTAAAAATCTGTAACATTATTGCTAAAACATATATTTAACTGTCTGTTTATGTGCTACTTGTCACCGTTTCATGCAGTCAGCAGTGGCTGACATCTAGTGAACTTCCCTACAGTGTAAAATCAAAACTGGAATGACTGGAAATTAAACTGGATTCATGGGTACTGGGGATGTTTTCTTCTGCTTTTAAATGCCCCTAAATGGTAATTTATCACAGACGAACCTTATTATTGTGGGTAAAAAGGTGTAATAACAAAAATGACAAGCAGTAAAGTATCCTGATTTCAAGCGCACACACTGGCCACGTTTCCCAATTACCTGATAACCGGGCCCAGCAGCAGCAGGTGCAGGAAGAGGACCAGAGGACGGTCCCGACCCAGGTCTCTGTGGATGAAAGTTAAGGCTAGCTGAATGAGCACAGCGGGCACCAGCATGAAGACGATGGTGAAGCTCATCCAGATCACATCCTCGGTGTGATGGTACATGCTGCAGAGCACGGCGGCCGTGATGAACTCAGCGCAGTAGAGCACGGTGGCCAGCACGACGCTGAGGGGAGGACGGGCCCGGCTGTGATTGACCACCAACATGACCCCGTTCTCCGCCACAGAGGAGCACTGCTCCACGTCCGAGATCTCCCCGTCCTGCTCCCCCATGGCCACTTCGCACATAGTAATTTTGATGTTTACGCCACTGAAGTCAGAGTGCCACTTTAATAGGAACCTGCCTCCAAAATATTTCCTTTGATGCGCTGTCCCTCCAAACTTTCCTCATTACGTATAACTTGACTATCCGACTGCAGGCATTCACTCATCCCCGACTCCCCCCGGAGGCTTTTGTATTCTGTTTTCCTGTCGTCGTCGTCGTCGTCTTATATTGCGTTTCGGTGTCTCCGCGTTTGGCCAAATGGAAATCACCTCACTGTCCGTTTGTGCAGCGTCAGTGTGCAGGATTGGCAAAGTTCAGCCCAGTCATACACCCTCACAATAACTCCAACCGCCCGACGATCGTCTAAACTCGGCGGTGATCTGAAGCGTCCCGATCGCTCGTACTTGTTCCTGGTTAAACAGAGAGGACTTGGCTCCAGGCTGGAGGTTTTTTGAGTGCCTCCGTGTTGGCGTGTGGCTGTTGTCGGGTCATGTTTTCAGTGTTTCATGCAACAGCTGCGTCAAGTCAGGCCGAAACTCAGAGAGGCACCGGAAATGATGGGTGGCAGCTTTCAAAATAAATAAGACGAGCTCATTGAAGGTAAGATCGGGTTATAGGTAAACTCCCCCAAATATGGGCAATACACGGGTACAAGGAAGACTATTCAACATGCTGAGTGTGTGCACAAATGAGTACACAAGGTGGAAGGAAAGGAAATGAGAAGTGGTGACATATACTCATATTAAAAAACAGTGTTGGGGAGTAACGGAATACATGTACCGCCGTTACGTATTTAAAATACAAAATATGAGTAACTGTATTCCGATACAGTTACCGTTTAAAAAGGTGGTAGTTAGAATACAGTTACTTTGTTGAAATAAATGGATTACACGGTGGTATTTTCCTGCTTCATATTGTTGCGGGTCAGGACTGTTTGGGTTTTGTTTGACAGTTATGTGCCGTTGTTCCAGGCGGGGCGGCAGCGTTACGGTTGCCGTGGTTACAGGGTGACGCTCTCTCTGCGACTGTGTGTTTCCTGGGTGAGAGAGCGCCTTTTTGTTGTTGTTGTTGTTGTTGTTGTTGTGCTAAGCTAACAGGCAGAATGCTACAAGCATAGCTCTAAAGAATGTAGCATCATGGGTAGTGTAGTCCGTGCTGCAGGGAGAATGGACTGCGACACGTTATGTGTCTGTGAGCGAGGAGGGAGAAAAAGGAGAGTGGAAAAGTAGGAGCTGTCATCGAGCAGAAACGGGAGCTGGAAGCATGTAAATATAATAATAACCACTGCAACCAAGAAGAGAGCCTGACGAGCCCAGTTGTAAGTAAGCGATTAAGACTCGACTGTACACCGTGTTCGCGTTTTCCTCCGAAACAATAAGTTCCGTTGGAGCAGCCTTTCACCTCTCTCTGTCTCTGGCTAGAAAAGTGACCCAGACAACAAAGTAAAGCTAGTTTTCAGCTACGAGCCCAACTCGAACCGAGTATTAGCCATAAGTCCTTTACTACGGTTCGGAGCCGCAGACCTTCAGTAATAGTAATAAATCACACAGCAATAGTACATTCATGTAGTTGTAAAAAGCATGATAATATATTAAGTAATCCAAAGTATTCAGAATACGTTACTGTCATTGAGTAACGTAACGGAATACGTTACAAAATACATTTTGGGGCATGTATTCTGTAATCTGTAGTGGAATACATTTTAAAAGTAACCTTCCCAACACTGTTAAAAAATATAGGCTACACACACACAATATGGGAATATTATAAACATTATTTGTAATTGTTAAAGTGCAGTTTACTCTGTCAATGAAATACAGTATGGTTCACGATTAATCAAACGAGTATGTACCTAATTAGTAGATATCAGAGATAAGAAACTTTTAATGATAGTCAGCCTTTGTTTAAAATATAGCAAAACAAAGGAGATAGAAGTTTTAAAAAGTGTTTAAGGTTTAATTTCAGTGGGCAAACATGTGGCTGGCTGCATAGGAAAACTCCCACTGGCACTAGAGCTACTACAGTGTTCATCTTCAGTGGGTACTAATAATCTGTTAGAAAATGTTATACAAACCCTAACAATCGTTGTGTTTTATTCTCAGACTAACCTCTCCTCTCTCACACACAGAGGTAAAACAGTGAGAAACAGCACTACACTTTTATTGCATAGAGTATACAAATGGAAAAACACTGTGAGGGCGAGAGCACAGAGATCATTTTCACTTCCATTTTTAGTTGCCACATGCAGGCCGGGCTTGGTTCTATTGTAGTAACCTTCAGGCCTGAGAGTGGAGCAGGCACACAAACAGCTGCAGGGAACTCCTAAAACTGCACTCAGTCTCACAGAGATATTTCCCCCCTATGTAACTGTTAGTTAGAAGGGCACTCATTAGTCAATGTGCTCTGCAGTACAAGTGGGAACCATTTGGTTGTTTGCTCATCTATTCACGCAAACAAGGGTTATCACTGTTCAAGGAGCATGAGAAAGCCACAAGCTGGAGTGAACTGCCTGACACCTCCACTCAACCACACATTTAGGTTTCAGTGTGGGGGTTCATTTCAGTTAGTATCTGCGCCCTTTTCTGGGATTTTCACCTTTTCTGATCAATTAGATTAAAAAGCTGGTGGACCAAAAGCTTTTAAATAAGCCCCCACCCTCCTTTTTTATTTTGCTGAACTAGAAAAGAAAAGAAGCTCAGTTTACACCATTGTGGATATAACATTGTGCCATAATTTCCTCTTCTCTACAAAAAAAACAAACAAAAAACCAGAGGAAGTTTTTCCAGTTTTTCAACACAGCTCACCCAAACGTGACCTCTTCTCGTCTAATCAGCTGCCCTGTAACTAATCATGCCTGGCATTGCGAAAGGGACCTAACATTACATTACCGTGTTACTGGTCAGTCAGGTCAGGAAAAGGGTGCGCTGGTTGTCTGTTTACAGTTTTTTAACAGTCACCCTGGGTCTGTCCAAATGTGTACATAAGAAAGAGCAATGCAATCCCAAGCATACATTCATTAATACACTGATTACTTTCCAAAATATCTAACAGTTCACTCGACGGTTTTTCAAACCAGAACGTGAAAAGCAGCCTAATGTAAGCTGAGAAGCAGTAGCAATATTGGAAGTTGGGGGTCTTTGAAACATGATAGCAGTGTGGACAACAGGAGGAGATAGGGGTGTGGTGCTGAACTGCTGCTGTTTATCACTGTGTGTGCGTGTGTGTATGTGTGTGTCAGCTGACGCAGGGCTGTGGTCAGAGCTTTGGATGAGTTTACTCAGCAGAGGGAGACAGTGGCTGATTGGAAGTCGGTTTAATGACATAATGAGATAAAGCTCTCACAGAAGCCACTGATCCCAGTCTCTGAAAGAAGCCATTACATATTTATTTGCTCACAAATTAAATCATGGCTGCAGAAACCCCACCTCTTTCACTCACCCTTAACTATGTGTGGGTTTTTCGCTGAGCATCGCGCTTTGGGGGAATCTTTAAGGTGACTTGTTTTGAGATTAATTTATAGTATTGAAGGGTTTTACCTGCACTGAGGAATTTTTCATAACTAATTCCGCCAAAGAGTTTTATCTACTAAAGACAAAGAACAAAATTTGGTTGTCATTTACTCATTCACACTTTTGTTTACAAATGGTCAGAAACAACGAGAAAATATATCGATTTGATTAAAACAAGACAACACAGCCTTTAATATACTCGGAGTGATTGTGCTTGTGTGGATTCTGAGCCAATGCTGAGCCAGGAAAAACTCTGGATTTAGATTGTATGGTGCACAGCAGTCACAGGCAACAATAATAGATCCGGTGTCTATGACGCCATCTAGCGGATGATGTTACACACAAACTGTATCGGGCGGCTTAATTAGGGTATTAATACCATTATGTAATATATTCAGATGATGCTTTCCTAATGTTAGAATGAATGGCTGTTACATAAATAAATATGTAAACAAACTTGACTTTGCTTTTTTTTAAAAAGAAAAAAAAAACATAAATAAAATAACACGTTATTTATTTCCTCCTAATTATTCACACTCAATACATTTTTTATCTTTATCTGTTTGTTGTTGTTGTGCTCTTTGAGAAATGGAATAAATTAAGACAAAAAGATCTCAAAAGTCACAATAATATCCCAGCCGACATGGTAAAAAGTCACCCTAAAAATAAAAGAAAGAAGATGAAAAACAAAATCATATGCACAATATTATGCACACAGATATGCATAAAGGAGCATACATCCGCTAATAATTGTTGCATTTTTTTTTTATTATCCAGCCTCATCTACAGTTCCCCTTTAATTCCCTGGAATATTTCCCCATGTATTCCTTTTATAAATAGAATCATGGTCACTATAATTTGGCTTTAAAAAGTAGAAAAAATCCCTCTTTAATGTCAAAGTAAACAGAAAGACTTCTACATTAATTTCACTTAAAATAACATTTATCATGTAAAGTAACTGGCTGCAGAAATATTCACCCCTTTCCAGTATAGCCATATTTTTCCACAATAGAAGCATTTACCTCACACGTGTGAACGCCAGTTTTGCTCTATTTTTCTTTGGGAGACTGCTCAAGCTTTCTGGGGGTGCACGGGGATCAGGTGTGAACAGCTCTTTTTGATTTGATTGAAAACATTCATCTTGTTGTTTTTAAACCATTTCTGCATAGCTGTGTAGCTTTTGCTGAATAAAAGCTAATAATTCTTAGTTCCCTCGGAGACTCAATCAGACGGTCCTCCAGGATTTCCCTCTACTTTTACAAGCCTTTGAATGCCTGCTGCTGCCACCGCCCTGTTTCACAGTGGAGATGGTGTGCATGGTTTGATGTGCACCAAAACATAGCATCTAGTCTGAAGGCTAAACAACCTTCTTCCAGTCAACAGCGGAGTCTCCCACATGCCCTTGGATGAATGCGAGATTTGGGTCTTTCTTTGCAACGAAGAGATTTTTCTACCTTTTTTTTTAAGCACTAGCAAATAATTTTCTAGGCACTTCTGACTGGTCATAGGTGTCCTGTCTTGGTGGCCTCCCTCACCACTCTTCTTCTTACACAGTCACTCAGTTTTAAGGAGGATGACCTGCTCTAGGCTGACTTACACATGTGCCGCTTTACATTTCCATTACCTGAGCTCCAGGGAATGTTCAGTGACTTGGATTATTTTTGTACCCATTCCCTGAATTATACTTTTCAATAACTTTTTCTTTGAGTTGCTTTAGGTGTTCTTTTATGTTCATGGTGTAACTGTAGCCAGAAATATTGATTAACCAGTGACTGGACCTTCCAGACATGGGTGCCTTTGTACTAAAATCACTTGAGACACATTCACTGCACTTAGGTGATATCCATTTCACAAATTGTGCAGTTGCTGCAACCATCTGGCTGGACCGCTTTTGAATTAGATCGGTCACTTTAAAAGAGGGGAAATATTTATGCAGTAACTTATTTTACATGATATATTTTTATTTAATTGTATAAATCTGTTTTTACTTTCACATTAAAGAGAATTTTTTCATGTAAGTTCTTGTCAGAAAAGCTAAAAGATATCAAAGGAGAGCCAAAAAAGGAGAAAACATCCAAATGGCATTTTATGTTTTCCTGATAAACCTTCAGTCCTGGGGTTCCCAAGGATGTTATTTTTACAAGACCCCAGCAATAAAAACATTGCTGCCTATAAAGCACCCTCTCCTAGTGCACTTGCACCCCCAATAGCTGCCTATCCCACTAGGACACCCCCAGGCATCCTCTGTCCAAGCACTGATGGGTCTGATCTGCTCTCAAGCCACAAGGAGGCACAACACAATATTAGGTGGCTGTAATCTTTCTCTTTTAATTGTAAATTCAGTGTGACACTAAACGGCCCTCATAGTGTCATTATCTCACTGAGAGACTGAGATTGTGCAGCCTAAATCCATCTCTGCTACCACTTTCTGTCTTGACTAAGAAAAGGAGATCACAGCACGCCACAGATCACACCACTCGACAAATTTAGTTTTCCGGGGATGGATATAAGCGCCTTCATTTGGTCGAGTTCCAGAAGGACCACGCCATCCAATGGGATTAGAAGTTGGTTCAGAGAGCTCTGGGATTGGTTGAAAAGCCAATACAACATTTTCCAGATTGCACCTCCCACATGGGGTGACCAAAGGCTTAGTGTGAGCCTGATTAGTTCTGTAGCCGATGGGTACAAGATGTCAGTGAAGACGAGCACCCAAACAAATGCATGGACATAGACATACTTCTGTGAGTATTCATTGAGCAGAAGGCTAAATCTTTCAAATTTGCAACTTTTATATGTAGTGGTGTCAGCTAATAGCTCCTGCTGAATTTAAAATGCTTTTCTGTGAGTTATAGAGTCACTGCATTTTACCAGGCATGTGACACTGTTGGTGTTTGTATGAAAAAAGATTTTTTTCAGGGCAGTTTTTCCCATGTAGAAAAAATATCAGTCATAACTGCTGCTTTGTTTTAGTGGGGGATCCAAATTGATTAACCGTTCTTTTATGGTAGATTAAAAGTTTTCATAAAAAGTTGTTTTTTTAAATCTTTTGTTCTGATTATTTGGGATTTTTATCAAATTAGATAAAACTGTTTCTTATTTTCCATTGTTAGTAGTCCAGTTTCTTCTTTATTTATGCCTCTTAAAATGATAAAACTTAACTGATGTTTTGTATTTTATAAACAATTTAATGTTATGTTTTGTGCGCTACATGGGTGTGATGCTTGAAATGTACTGAAGTCATTGAAATTAATACATGCAACATGCACATTTAGTACCCTGGATAGGTGATTCTCTTGTGTTTCAAAACTACTCATGACTAACTAATCTGGTTTAAATGTCTAAAACAATGAGATATGAAAACCAGTCCTCCTTACACCATAGCAGAAACAGGGGCGGCCTCTTCTACAGCCAGTACAAACATGGGGCAGCTTGTTAACAACACTGTAAAAGCAGGCCATTCTAAACTGGCTTTAGCAGATTACAGGACCTGAACAGATGCACTTGACAAAGGAAGATCTGCTTGTGTGTGTGAGTTTTTAGCACATGCCCTACCTCAGATGCACCTGCTGTGTGTTTATTGGGAAGTTTCAGGATGACTGGATGACTGCTCATGCATCCAATGACATGTTAGAGAGCTTCTATGAGGCAAACACACATTCAGTGGGATAAAGACAATATCAAGAGAAGTTACTGAGAAACATCATGCAATACTTGCTTGTAATGGCCTATCTCAGGGGTACTTGGAGAGGCTTGAGCCCATATGTTAGATATGTTAGCAATTAAGAAAGTATTTGTGAAGAGTGTGGCTGTTGAGAAATCCTTGATGTAGTTCTGATAGATCATCGGTTCCAGAAGGAAAAGAAAAAAAAAGCTTTCAAAATTAGATTAGCTATTATGGTGGACTAACTGGTGTTAGTGGTGGGATTCTCAGAACTGTGATGCCCAGGAGGCTAAATGAGAGGACGACATGGATAAGTTGCATCATAATGGACATTTTAGTTGGAGTAGAGAGCATGGTGTTTCATGTTTTCAATTATGACTTGGTTTACGGTTGTTTACCTGTTAATGAGGGGGCTGGTATATGTCTTCACATCAAATTTAGGAAATTTTATCTGATTCAGTGGACAGAAGAGTTTATGTTAAAGACAAATGTGCCTGCAGTCTTGCTTTTTGCAACTATCATGCATAGACATGAACTGTTTAAAGTAGTGCATTCTTTCCTTCTCATGAAGGGCCATATAAAATTCCAATGAGGGCTTCTACTGGCCCGGAAGCCGCGCCCTGGATAACCCTGGGCAGTGAATGCACTGTCGCGAGTGACCATCTGTAAACGTCTCCTAAGTCCACAGGAGACAGACACAAAGCATCTTTGCGATGGATCTGGCCTCATTCCCAAGTGACTCAACCTTCCAGCCTTATCTGCGTATGTGTGTGTGAGTCACACTGAGATTTACCATCTGTCTGCAGGTACCAGTTCCAGAAAAGATGGTGGCCACTGTGCACACCTTGCTCACCTCAAGTAAACATGTTCAACCTGATGAGCAACTGCTGCAACTGGGTCTCCAAAATACAGGAGCCAATCAGGTACAGATATTACACTTTCGCAATCTTCCTGCTGAACTTACTAAAAATAAAACACTTCCTCTCTCAATCACTCGAGGAGATTATTTTTAGACATTCTTGTAGCATCAGCTCATTGATTGTTCCTAAAATCCACAGAAGTCACCTTAAGCTAATATCAATATGCATTCGTCTGCAGGAAAGTGACCATTCTTGTGGTTGGTCTTGACAAAGCGGGAAAAACATCCTCCATCAGAGGCATGCTCAGAGGTATGCATGTGACTTTACCAAGGGTTCAACCTCAAGTGTTTATTTCAGAAATACAACAAGTAACCACCTGTTTCCCCCCTTCAGTCGCCAATGTTGTCGAATCAGGATCCACACATGGCTGCATTAGACATGAGCTGAGGGTAGAGAATTACCTGGTCACACTCTTGGATGTTGGAGGATCAGCAGAGTCCCGTGGCACCTGGAGGGAGCTCTATGGAGAGGCTCATGGCATCATCTTTGTTGTGGACTCTGGTGACAGGCAGAGGATAAAGGAAGTCAGGGAGGTTCTTTCGGACCTGTTGAAGCAGCCGAGGGTAGCAGGAAAACCTCTACTAGTGTAATTACACTCTGTTTTATATGTCTGAATTTTACATCAGATCTCAAATCATGTGCAAACAATGCCCCCTGGTGGCTCACATGTAAAAATACAGAACAAAATATTAATTGTGACACTTCTCTTTTGCTTTCAGATTGGCCAACAAACAGGATAAAATGAATGCTTTGCTGGGTAGTGAATTGATTGAGATATTGTCTTTAGAGAAGTTGGTCAACCAGAGCCGCTCTCTGTGCCATATTGTAAGTAATATTTCAAAATGATCTAATCAGACTTAAATCTTATTTAATAAAATATAGACAGCGCTGCATTAAAGGGGGACACCTCAGATGTGCAAAGAAACTGAGCTTTCTTTCTGTTTCCACTCAGGAGCCTTGTTCAGCCTTAATGGACCTGCGGCGCTGGTCAGACAGAAAGACTCTGCGAGGTCTTCGCTGGTTGCTGCGAGCTGTTTGTCTGGATTATCCAGAGCTGTGTGCTCGTGTAGCTCAGGACAGCAAAAGGCCTCTGGAGCCAAGAGAGAGGGAGAGGAATGGAAAAGCAGAGAAAGTGCAAAGAAAAACCAAGGTCGAACGGTAAGAAAGGCCTTCAGAGCTCAAATATTGCAGATAAAGGCATTAATGTTTTAACATGAATTTGTTATTACCTCAGAATAAGATCCAGCAAGTCAGATCTGCGCAAGGTTCATCGGCCCAAAGACAAGGAGAAAAAACCCAAGAGCGAAGGAAAGCTGCAACCCATTCGGAATATGCTGCAAAAGGTCAGAAAAATATCTTGCATTCTTTATAAAACCTTATAAAATGTAATGCGATCAGCAGCTAGGCCATAAATTCTTCATAGAATAATGATGGTACCATCGCAAATAATGATGGTGATTCTCAAAGAAACACACTAAAACTTGTATAAGCAAAAACTCCTAAATCCTTAAATCCTAAATTTGTTTCTGTGGCATATCTGTTGTATTGGGCTGTATTAAACCGCACATGTAGATGCTGTCTGTCTTCATGTGTTTGCTCTACTATGATTTTAGCTGTTGCATTAAATGTTCTGTTTTAAATTCATTTCAATAGGGCTACGATTAATGATTAATCTGCCAATTCTATTGATGATAAGTCTAAAGGTCGGGATGCACGATTCGTTTAATAGTCTGCATTTTCAGAATTACAGAAAAATGCCCACCTCAGCTTTGGAGAACAAATTCTCCCATTCTCTTCTTTTGAATTTTCATTTTGGTGATGTGGCAGGTGTATAAACTGCACTTTGCTTTAAATTAAATCTATTTCCAGGACACTTCGCTGAAAAAGAAGCTAAAGACAAAGAAGAAGAAGAAGACAGTTAAGGTGAAGGAAGGTGAAAAAGATGAGGGACCGCCGAACGAAGAGGAAGAGGACGGTGACGCCAATGAAGGAGAGCAAGATAACTCTGGTCACAGAGACAAAGCCAGCAGTGCTCTGATCCCTCCAAAAAAGGACAAACTTAAACGCAAAACAAAGGTGAAAGAAGAGACGCTGGATGTGCCAGAATCACCAGAGAACGACGAGAAACCACTGAAAGGTTCCCAAAAGCAGTGATTGGATTACACTCAGTTTTAGTGGTTAGCTGTTTAAGAATCTCAAATCTACTTTTTTGTCTTCTGTCTAGTTAAAGGAGAAAAGAAGAAGAAGAAGAGAGTTGTGAAAGTGAAAAGAAAAAACAAGATCAACACAGAGGAGATGCCAGCAGCTTATTCGCAGCCCGTGGACCTTTCTGCAACCTTTGGTGAGCCTCATCCACTTCTTCCACCCAACAATAAAACACAGTAACCACACTTTGGACTCTGACAGCATGAAATCGCAGTTTTAATATTACAAGTTCAACCTGTCTCCTGACAGATCTTTACCGGAAAGCAATACTAGCTCTGAAAGAGCGTCAGGATCAGGGACAGTGAGAGTGAATCGTGCGTGTGTCCTGCCGCCTGAGTGTGAGGATGTGGGTCCACAGCAGACGTACACAACACATTGCATCCCTTCACACACACTACTATTTCTGTATCTCTTTCCATATTGTAGACTTTCAGCCTGATTCCTGAACCTTTGGAGGGAATTTGCAGACTCCGAAGTGTAGTGAAGGGCAGGTCTGAAGAGTTGTGCTTTGATAAAATAATATCACATCGTAAAAATAAAATGTGTTAAATATAAACTTGTGTACACGGCCAATGCATCTAAGAGGATTTTGTTTATATACATTTTTGCAGTTTTGAATGAAAAGAAAACTGGATTTTTAAACTGTTTGTCTGTTTTGTTTTTTGTAATTATTGTTTAAACATTTTCCCATAATAAACAGTGTACTGGGGAACGTTCTGCATATTGTTGAGTGGATCACTTGCATAATACACTAGTATATATTATATAATAAACATTTGTTAATACATTTGCATAGTTTCAGGAAACTGGCTCGTGCTGGGCAGCAGCTGCACAATCCTCCTCTGTTTTCTCCCACAGTCCAGAAATATTCACGTGATGTTAACTGGTGTGAAGATAAGGTGGTTGAACGGCTTAAATGTAGTTTAAGGTGCTGAATCTGTACTTTTAGGTGTCGTTTGATAATTAGTCATGCATTTTTCCACCTTTCTTCCATCTGGAGAAACTGTTTACCAGATTGCTCGACAGATTTGAGACTTAGCTCTGCAGTTTCTGGCTTTGGCAGAATGATTTGTGAGTTTCATCCATATCAGCTGCACTTCAATAGCTTTCAGCAAAACCTACTAAAGGAACAAAAGATGTAGATAATTGTGATTTGTTCGGTGGTCCTGATCATCAGGTATGATGAAGCTTGTGGTTTCTTCATTCCTTACTGATAAATTTTGGGTGAAAGTGCTGTCCTAAAATATGTCACAGCATTATTACTGCAAGGAGAAAAGTATAATAAATCCAATCAAATGTGATGAAATGAGCTGAACAGCTTTCATAGAAATATGGGTGTTCGCTTAAGGAGTGGTTGAATGGTAAATTAAATACAATATAGACTCACATTTTACATTAAACAGATATTTCTTTTGCCTTTTATAAAAACCTGCTCAATTGGTAAGAGAAACTAGTGACTATATAAAAGGGATATTTAGGGAAGCTTTGCTTTTTAGGATCCTAAAATACCACCCGGTGCTCTGATCATCAAATGCCAAAGCCTGGCGACATTAGCAACATATGCTTTATGTTTCATTTAATTGTAACTCAATCTTTAAAATCTACAAAAATCCTATTTCTAAAGCTGTGCAGACAAAAGAAAATTGCCAATTAACGCAGGAGGAAATGGCTGCAAAATCCACTTAATAAGTGAAAGAGCTGTGTCAACATTTCATGTCTAATTTCTTTAACATGTGCAAATATGATGTGTGAAAACATGAATTTGCATTAGCAGCCATGTCCTCCACAGGAGGCAGGACTGTCGCGCTTCCACAGCTGCTCGCAGTTTGCGGATCGCTGAGTGCAGCTTTCACTGACAGCCTGTCAATGGTTCACTCACTGAAAGCTGATGTTAAACCAATCATCAGATTGCAATGATACCACATTTTCATAGTGGAATTTATTTTCCTTTTGTCTGGTGGTGGGGGGTGGGGGCAGTATCAGAGATGCCAGCGGCGTCAACAAACTAATACACAAGGGTGGATTCATTATTGCCCAGAATCCGGAGGCATTTCAGTCAGTGAGCGACAGGAGGTCACTCGACAAACTGCTCTCCATCATGGACTCATCTCATCTCGTTCCATACTACATACAGAAGGGAGCAGAGCACCTTCTCGCACAGACTCATTCAACCCTGCTGCCTTAGTTCCTACTACTCCCTATGAAACTCTACAACTGCTCTCCTTTTTGTCCGTTGTGTGACCAGTGATCCCCGTTTTTACTCTTTACACCCATGACTGCAGTCCAGCCTATACCAGTAACACCATCAGCACATTACCAAATGATAACACAGTTTGTGGACACATCTCAGATAGTGACAAGTCTACCAAAAGAGATAAGATCCTGAAATTGTTAGTTTGGATTTCAGCAAACAACCTGACACTGAACACCAGGAAAACAAAGCAAATCATCTTTGACATCAGGAAGATGTCAGTGCAGACCAGCTCCCCGTCTACATCAGTGGTGACTGTGAGGGCTTATGCTGGTCTGTCCTGGACTACAAAGACCTCAGCAGTCACCAAAAAGATGTACAATTGTATAAGTCCTTTAGATGTGACCTTCACCAAGGTCAGGAAGAACATCTGGCACCCAGATATGAGAGAAAATTTGTCAGGATATTCAGGAGCAACCCAGCGACCAGCAAGGCTCAAGCCTGTTATGAAATGGAAATTGCTGGAACACCAGTGTCACTATTGACAGTGAAGCAAGGTATTCTTCACCATGGGCTGAGAGGGTGCCAACCATGAAAGAAGCCCCTGCTACATCTTCAAGCTCGACTGAAATTTGGAGGATGGATTTGGAATGGATAAAGCAGGCCAACTTTAAGCTTCTCAACCTGAACCCTGTTAAACCCTACTGAATTTGTGGACTGCACTTAAAAGCTGGGCCCATGCCAGGAAACCCACCAATTTAAATAAACTTCAAATTCTCCCAAGAGGAGTGGTTAAATATCCAACCAGAACTATGTCAGAGGCTAGTTGATGGCTCCCACAAGCATCTAGTTGAGGTGCAACTTATTAAGGGACATTCAAGCAAATATTAGTGGTGATGCAGATTTACATTTGAGCCACTTCAAATCTGTGCACCCATTTGTTGTGTTTTAAAATCATTAAAGGCGCATGCTGCATAACCATTCACACTCTGGAAATAATTGAAAGCACAAAATTACCATGTCATTCATGCCCATGATAATGCATGCAAACATTTTCTCAGCATGTAGCACAGAAGTGGGTTTTATATGTTACCTCTTTTCGTTAAAATCGCAGAGAGGCACAAAACTCATATATAAAGTTGTTGTTAAGCAACTTGAACCCAGAGCTTTTATCTTGGCTGTGAGCTAATGCCATAATTCAGCACTATGAGTGTTTCACGTAGGATGTGTGTCCCTTCCCTTTAATCTTATTCTTAAACTAAGATGAGAAGTAGGTCTTCTGCCTGCTCCGCATCCAGCAGCTCCCTTCCTGCTGCTGCTGGATGCGGAGCAGGCAGGGACCCCGGTCGCCATTTTTATGGTAGATCCAGAAGCCCATCCCCCTCGCGCATCTTCACTGGGAAACGTTCCGACTTTCATTCAGCTCAGCGGGAAGCGCCCGGCCGCATGCACGGTAATGAAAAATGGCTTCACCAAGGACAATAACCATTGTGGCTCTTTCTTTTGCTCTGGGTTTATTTTTCGTGTTTATGGGGACCATTAAGCTCACCCCGAGACTAAGCAAAGATGCATACGACGAAATGGTGAGTAGCGTTGAGTCTTACCCGTGAAGTGTCCGCATCTTTGGGGGGGGGGGTAAAGGCCATTGTTCTGCGGTGACTACAGACTCAATGTGTAGGGAAGCTGACCTAAATAGTAAAAGGACGGGAAAATGAGTGTTTTAGATGCTGAGTTGCTCTTTTAATAGGCCTGTCTGTTGCTTGTTTTCCCAGTGGAGAGTCCTGTACGGTTATACAAATGACCTGCTATTATTGCCTGCAACAATACTTTTAGCACGCATGCTAAGCCACCGTGTTTTAGGATAAGACTCAAATTATTTTAGCAGTCATCCCTGTAACATCATTTAAACAGATAGCATACATAAAATAGTTTAAAACGGGCCTATCCTTAGCTGAGTATGGATGAATAATGAATGAATGAAAGCACTTCCTTTTTCTTTCTTCTTAAAACATGCTGTAATTCAGCTTAAAGATACAAAGAAGCATGCGGGATAATTAACAGTTTTGGAAGTGAGAGATTGGCCTTTATAACCTAAAATGTCTTGTAGCTCCCATGGATGGATGGATAGATAAGATAGATAGAGAAGCAACTTAGCAGTTGGAGAGCAATGGTGGCGCATTCGAGCAATTTCTGTGAGATGCACCTGCGGGTGCTGATGTTGAACTATCCTGTGGAAGATCATCGATGGCATGCCTGTTGGTTTAATTACTGCATTCCCAAGCTCACTGAATATCATAATTGGATGAGTTTGCAGGTTTTCTTGAGCAGTGAGCAATAGGCTGGAGAGTCATTGTGCAGCCACAGTGATGATAAACTGTCATCTAGATGTTGTACCTGCTGACCTGAGTGTGGTGACTCCACCTGGTCCTTACATGGCCTCACTAAAGGACATTCATAGCAGCCTGTAGGCCAAAGTTACACACTATAGGTATTCATGAAGATTTCTTTTTTTCTTTCTAGAAAAGGGCATACAAGAGTTATGCCAAAGCATTGCCGGGCCTGAAGAAGATCGGGATCAGCTCAGTCCTGCTACGTAAGATCATTGGCTCTCTGGAGGTGGGCTGTGGGGTGGTTCTCACCCTTGTACCAGGCCGGCCGAAGGACGTAGCCAACTTCTTGCTGCTGCTTGTCATGCTGGCTGTGCTCTTCTTTCACCAGCTAGTAGGAGACCCCCTGAAACGGTACGCCCACGCTCTAGTCTTTGGTATTCTGCTCACCTGCCGATTGCTCATTGCTCGCCAGAGTGATGACCGGCCAGAAAGAGAGGACAGCAGAGAGGAACAGCACATCAACGATCAGGAAAAGAACAAGGTCAAGCAGTCTTAAGGTCTTTCCTCTTGGTCTATGGATTGTAGTCATTCAAATTTTGAAGGAAACATTCACTCCTAGTAATAATACTACACACACACACACACATCCTCTGTCCCATCCAGCTGCTGACTGATGACTCTCACCTACTCCTCTACACTCTTACTGTGAAACTGAGAACTCCTGACCCATCCATCCTCTACATAACCGTGGACAATCGTACCTTTGGAAACTGATGAGCTCAGCTCATTGTCACGTTTATCCATCCCTGTTTCCCTATTTATTTCAGTCCTACACTGTGTTCAATGTTTTACTCTACTAAGAATCTCTGTTATGTTTTAGGTTGATTTGAGAATGCTGTTTTTCATTGAAGAATCTTTGTTGTTTTTCTTTCTAATTTGTTTTTATATTGTAGGTAGGAGAGGTTAATGATGAATTTCAAGCATGTTTAATTTGGTCAAATTTACAGAGTTTAAACTAAAAAAGGCACTGATAAGGGGAATTTTGGACTTGCTGTACTTTTTTAATTCGTCTTACATATCCAGGTCTGATGTTGATGCAGTGTTACCCAGTGACTCCTTCAGTTAAAAAAACAACCTATAAATCCTTTTTCATTTTTCATCTCAGTAGACTTTTGCAGAAGTACGCATGAAATCTTCTCAAAGTAAAATAAGCTGAATATCATCCTTTCAGTTCTGTTATTACACTGAAGTTGTTTAGCTGGGAATGATGGTGCTCGCTGCCTCAGACGTCGGCAGCCTGCTTGTACTGCAGAACACAACCAAATCAGAAGAGTATTTTCTCATTGAAACTCAATTTTACCATTTGTAATTCACAGTTGGAAGTCTTAAATTCTAATCACGGGTTTGTTTCTTCTTCTCTAAAGATATGAAAATAATTCCTACTGCGGTTGAAAATACTGTCAATTTTGAGACTCACAATATTTCTGTAAATGATATACTTAAAATAAAGAATTGGAGCTCAGCCTGACTAGTGCATTTCATTCCATTAAAGTTAACTAAAAATACCTTAAATATGAATCACGAGCTGCTGCCCCCCCCCCTTTGCCTTGTTATATAACTTCAGCCAGTCCCTGTCAAAGTAATTCCTTCATATTAGCACATATCCTACATACTACCTAAAAAAGTACTGTGTGCAACAGCTCTGCAAGAGAAGTCTTGGTCATTTTATTCTGTCCATTGCACATAGATTGGTTTATTATAAAATGCTGCTTAACTCAGGCTGGCATTAAGTTATTATTGTCAGAAGGGACTGACTTTCGCACCGTGTTTTGTTTACGTGAATTTTCTCATAAGATGACTCCTGATGGCCTAAACTCAAAGCTGTGTCTGACACAGCAAAATAAAAAAAGCCCTCATATGAGCAACAATCAAACAGGCTCACTGTACAGACTGGCTCTGATGGTTGTTTGTCTTAAGCCATTTTTCCTCCTGCTGAGCATGAAAGCTGGATGGGATATTTGTTACAGTTTGGATGAAAGTTATAAGAAGAAGACACGCTTTAAAAATCATGCATTATGCATTCCCCAAAGGGCAAATTTTGACAGATGTTTGCAGAACAGCTTTGTCCACATGAAAAGAGAAATTTGTTTGTGAGTTGTAGCTGAGATTTCTGGCATACTGAAGAAAATATTAGGTAAATGAAATATAATATGATCTCTGGAAAACTAATTCAATCCCTGCAAAATGGCATAGGCATCTTAGATCCTTTGCCCTGCGTGTTCTTAGATATGGACATGTCTTTTAGAGGCATATTTACTAACATAGCTACATATAACTATGGGGAAAAAAATTCAGGATAAACATAATATTTTGGGTTTTGCTGCTGAATTACAGGAGGGCATTATTTTCTCTTGCAAAAGATGTTTTTCTAAAGGGGATAAATAAGGAGGCACTGAAGCACCACACTTTCACAAGCTGTTATCGTGGTTGCCACGTTGATATTTTGGGATGAGCTGTGATCTTTGTTCCAAAAGCTCATACAAAGTCCCACTTGATGTTTGTCGACTGTGCTTTTGATTTAAATTGTAAATGACAGATTAAAAAAAAAAAAAAAATCCACCTGACAAGGCTGATTTCTGCAAGGCTTGATCTGAAGATTTTCTGTGCCAGTTTTGGAAAAAGACTGGAAAAAGGGCGAGTTATCAAAAATATTCTAACCAATCCATAAAGTCCAATATGGCTGTTACATTAATTAGTTAAGCATCAATATTCCATGGAAATTATGCCACAGAATATATGTGAGATGATCTATAGTGTAATGGTTTACAGATTTGCCTAAAACAATCAAAAGATGCCAAGTTTGATACAGGGAGGAGAAATAAATCCCTCTGGAGTTGAGTCAAGAAGGGCATTAAAATAGCTTTGTTCTACAAAAAAAAAAGATTGTATACATCTGGGATATTGTCCTCCCACTGTAGACTGCATTCGACTAAGGATCTGGCGTCTATATGTAGGAAGACTCAGAAGTGTTGGTATTTAATTTTGGACAAAGCGTTTGAAGGCTACAGGATTCAACAATGGCTGGCAAGATATGAGGTGCTAAAATGTAACTTCATTAATGAAGTGAAATTTTTTGCTGTGAGCACCAAAGTAAATTAAAAGACTGATATAGCCTATATATCAGCTATTTCTAGGTTGATATGAAGGCTTCTAACCCTCCTTAAATTCATTATCTGTAATTAATCTGTAATTTGTAGTTCTTTATAAGTGTCATATGAATGTAAACTGCATTTTCACAAAAAATGTGCTTTACAAACATATAACGGATTGAAAACAGAGTGAGCAGTAGTGGCTTGCTATGCATACAGTTAGGGTAAACACACAGCATTATTTTTGCTTTCTCAAAATAGGGTCCAGTTTTTTTAGGCCTGCGGCTCTTAAATAAATGCAACCCATAGATACCTGAGTAATTTTAGAGTGTCAGCTTCTTTGTTCACAGAGTGTTTAAGATATCTGACCGGTCCCTTTGTATTCTGTTCATCACTTTATTAAAAATGTAAAACATTTATTATGAAGAACAAATCTACACCAGTGACTATGAGGCACAGAATAACGATGGGCACTCAGCGAGGTGGAAGACGAAAGGACTACAACTCCCGCGAAGCAACAGAACGGGAAGCCCAGACTGCGCAAGCGCAGGGCAAACGGTCGCGCGGATGATTTGAGTTTTGTTTGAATGGCCGAAGACGAAGGGGGTTACCGTGTTTTTAAGTTTTGGCAATGTAGAGATGGCAGCAACGCAAAATCTGTCGGATTCAGACCAATCGTCTGTAAACGACCAATCTGCGTCCAATCGGAGCGGTAACAGAAGTTTAAGAGTTGCAGAAAAGGAGAGGAGGAAGAACGAGGCGGAGGACCCGTTTGTTTTAGCTCTGAAATACTTCTCTGACGGTACGTCTAAATATAAACCTCCACCCAACAACAGGCTGTGGCCTTACTGTTTCTAACTATACAGTGTTTAACCTCAGCAGAAAACAGATGGAGAAAATCCAACGAGGCCTGAAAAAAAAGTGTATGATTTCGTTACTTTTGTATTTAATGTGGCGTGTAACGCAGCTAGCTAGCATACGCCTCCCCTGTATTAGCATTGGAACCCCGGGGAAGCCAAAATATCAGCGTCTTTGGCTATTAGGTAACAGGCATTGTGTCGTGCCAAAACACAAAGGGGTCAGCAAGCTCGCTTAAACCTCTCACTTGATTGCATGGATATTCTTTTAAAACAAGAAAGAATGAGGAAAATACTCTAATACGTCTATGGGACTCGTATTATCTCGAAGCTCTACTTCAAGCAATTTTAAGTCAGTCATAGTCGTTGTGAGCTAAACAAATTAAAATATGTATTTCACTGGATTTGATTAAAGTCTACTCATCACCCAAAGTTTGTTACTGTATGTTTTGAAGTAATATAATCTAATCCTTTATTTTGAAAAAACGTCTTCCCACTTCCCCTAAGCAGATTTTGGTTAGGTGTAGTTATGCCATATTTAGAAGTTAATTGACTGCTGCTCATGTCAATGAAGATGGCCTTGATGTTTATATGTGGTGCACATATAGTTCTTTATTAGGGTACGCGTGTTGTCTAATCAGGTAATACAGCTCTGGAATATTTTCCACTTTTATGAATCTCCTGCAGTTCAGTTTTTAAGGAGGTTGCCAGAAAGGTGATTGTCTTACTTACTGGGATCACAGTGGGCTTTGGAATTCTGCATATTTTAAAGCGCTTCTAATATTTTATGTTAACATATGTAAAAGGGAGCATTTGTAGTAGAGCTTTAGGATTTTTGAAGCGACTTGGATTCATCCTGAAATCATGGACGAAAAGTTGATACATGACCTGAGAGGTTTCGCTGAATTGAGATGGAAAAATAGTCACTCTTACTATCCATCTCATCCAATCATTTCCTTAACAACTTGCCCCTTTCCGTGTCATAGCTGACAGCGAGTGACTCACAACTGTATCACAGGGCTATTATTCTTACAGTCTCAGTGAAAACATAGATTAATTTGTTCTAAAAGATTTATGTGGTTAAACCAACCATCCATCGGGGCATCTATCGATTTATCGTCTGCTTACCCAATTCATTGTCACGGGGCCTGAAGCCTATCCCTGGTGTCATAAGGTGACAGGTGTGGTACACCCTGGACAGACCACCAGTTTGCTACAGGGTTAATGCATTAAATCAATAACCCAGACAAATATAGTAGATTGACAGCTTTCTTTTGAACTAAGTATTTCGAAATCTGTTGACTTATGTGGAGGATTTCCTTCAAATAGGTGGTTAGAAGAGTCTTATAGTAATTTTAAACAACCTAAGATGTAAATATTCAACTAAAATATCACTTGCAGTCAATGGAGTGGTGATGTAACTTGTAGTTACTGACGGGTAATCATCATCATTATTTTTAAACAAGCAGGTAAGCAATCTTCTGTCAGACCTAGTATTAAGCCAGCATTGAAAACACAAACATTCCAGTATTTACATGAACAGGAAAGTATAGACCTACGGCAGTCACAAGTAACTTTAACTGGGTAAAAAGGCTTTCAACACACTGCATTATGCTTTACTACATGTCAGAAATTTGATTAACTTCATCATTTTTAATAATTGAGCACAACCTTTATTATAGTCTTTTAGCCGATTAGACATTAGTGTAGCGTTTCTTAACCAGAAAGAATATGTGGAGCTGCAGTTCTTTCCAGTACAAGTGGATTTCCAATGATTTGGTTTTTGCATGACTTTGAACATTTGTGGTGCATGAAAACAGGCCTGAAAAACTGTGTTGTATTGAATTTTGAACCATCTCATGTGATTTTCAAGAGTCTTTATATTTCTTTAATTGTGCTCTTTTGACTCTTTGTTTTATTTTTCCCTCCAGAAATTAGTATCTCTCATAAATATTTAGATATGAGTTAATTATTCATCCAGGATTCTCTTCCATATCTTCACCATCTGTGTTCTTATTCTTGTTATTTTATGTTAGTTCTATTTAGTGCTAGTGATGAAGTGGTTAAAGGCACTGTTAGTGATGCATTCCTGAATTACTTGCCTACAGTGACCCTGGTTCCTGCAACTTATTAAACATCTTAAAAGGCATTGGATGCATTAATTAATTAACTTGGCATAAAAGGATTCAAGGATGAAATGATTCAAGAGACTGACATCACTTGGATGTTTTATTTTAGATCATTTTAGTTGTTTTTGTCTTCACATTTTTAATGTATTTTTTGTTATTTTCTTGAAAATGCAGAAAAAGGAATGTACCACACACCTTCTGATTAAATACTTTAGCATGTAAGCAATAAAGCATCAAACATTGTCTAGCATCAGCCAACTAATTTGTTATTACTTTTAACTAATCTGACAAATATTTTCACCCTGGAGCTGTGTTGTATCTAAATAACCCCCAATGTCCTTGTAACCAGGAAAAGTCTAAATTATTTCTGTGATTTGACTCTAGATGACAGCAGCGCTGTGGTCTGTTTTTGTTATTCTTAATGAGAAGCCAGCAAATGCGTGAATATTTGATGATGGATTTAACACTGAGCTAAATTGCGAAAACAGACAGTTTTTATGTTGCAGTGAGTAAACATGTAATAAACTGTTTTTCTGGGGGGAGGGGGGGTGTGATGAAGCAAACTGTTTATATCAGCTCATACCCTGTCATCCGATATCAAAGTTGCTGACTTATTCTAGTGTGTGAAACTGTTTTGTTTTGTTTGCTTCTCAGCTCATTAACACATTCCATTTTAAGGCCCTGCAAGTCACTTCTTTACATAAAACTGTTTACATCCATCTATCCATTCTCTTCCGCTGGTCCTTATGAGGGTAGGCTGGAGCCTATCCCAGCTACAATAGGGCGAGAGGCAGGGTACACCCTGGACAGATCGACAGTCTGTCGCATGGCTAACGCATGGAGACGGACAACCTTTCATACTCACATTCACACTTATGGGCAATTTAGAATCATGTCTTTCCTGAAGTCTCTTAGGAAATATCAGTGTTTTTTTCCATTTATATAAATGTACACACTTTAATACAATGTCACCTCTCCTCCGTGTAGTTGAAGCAGGGACTCCTGTTCTGGGGAATGATGAGCTGGAGAAGAACCTGGTGCAAGTGGAAAAGGTGGCCTATAGTCAGGGACTTCCCCCAGAAGCAGTTTCTATTATGCTGGAGTTTGCCATGAGCCTCCGTATGGGTAAGACTGTCTTTGCATCAGCCTCAAACTGGGTAAATTGGGGAATTTCCAGCAGGAAGGATGGGCTTGTGTAACAGAATTGTAGAGAGCAGGAGTCTGTCAGATTGAGGACCTGGCAAATGTACTTTTTTGTTACACTTTTCACACTTAACTGATTTGAAAACAACAATTCACCAAGCCTGCCAGTCTTTGTACTGTCAATAGCAAAAGAGAGCATAAGCACAACAGATCTATTGTAGTCTTCCACAATATAATATTGTGAAAAGATCTATATAGTAATATAATATTAATTGTATAGTTTATACAATATAAAGAATTATTATTTCTAATCGATGTGATGTGAGTTTCATTCTTTTAATTGTACAGTCATTTGGACAGTGTGGAAAAATGTGTGGTAATGTCTTTGATATTACGTCGTTCTGCACTCTTTAAGGTTTCTTTTGATAAATTTTGCTCTGAATTTTCTGTGCAGGGACTTCTCCATGTGTCCGGGTGCTCAAGTGTCTGATTCCTGCCTCTGTGGTGCCACAGGAGGCTGTTGTTCGAGCAGTGGTTTGGCTCAGCGTTGGCAAGATGCCCATCAGCACTCAAGTAAGTGCACGTAAAATATTTGCACTAAAGGAAATATTATAACTTCCAATCCTTCTTTAGGGATTCAGTTAACTTTTGGGGCAGTAAAACTTTGTTTGATGTGCCTAAAGCTTCTTCTCATTTTCTGTTCATTAATTATTGTCTGGAGGAATATTTGTCCAGGGAACGCGTGAGTCTGGCTGTGTTGCAGCTCTGTTTGAGCTCCAGTCGTGTCTGTTTAGTATAATGATTGTAAATCCACCAAGTCCAACTTTTCAGCTCTGCCACACTAAAATTAGCACAAGGTATATTTTGGGATTCCAAAGAGCAGCTGAAAAGCGCAGGAAGTGAGACGTAGGAGCAGTTAAGCGATACCAGCCAATTTCCAAAATAAAATACAACTCAGGCTCAAATACTCCACTTCTGAAGTTCTTCTGGTGTCTTTTGAAGTTCAGACTTGTTTAGTTTTATGCCTTGTTTATTCCTGGGGTCACACTGAAGACATAATTTCATTGTTCTATTTGATAAGAGTGTGACATTAACGACCATCAAATTTACTTCTCTTCCATGCAGGTTCTTTTCATAAAGTGGGTATTGACTGTATTTGATATGATTGATGCAAAGGACCAGCTACGAGCAATTTATGGCTTCATCTTCAACTTTGTCACAGATGAAAATCTGGTAAGTGCTGGCGATCTTTATAATAATGGGTTGAAATGACTGTTTAGACAAATCCGATGGCATTTACACCTGTCAGGCACGCTTTTCACTAAGCTGGACTGTGTTTTTAACAGCTGGCAAGATAAATAGTTATGTTTTAAAGGTGTGAATTGGTTAATCATGTTGTCAAAATTTTTCAGTGTCCTTTCATCTGCCATCTCTTGTACCTTTTGACCCAAAAGGAAAGCGGTAAGCCAAATACTTTTATCCTTGAAATCAGATCCCTATACTATGAAAATACTATTCTCCCTTTTTTCAGTTTACTTCTTTGTTTCACCTTTTTCCTCATCACTTTTCTGAGGTTTTTTAACATCTCATTTTGTCGCGGTAGTGCGAGTCTTCAGAGTCAGGAAGCTACTGGAACTACAATCTAAACTGGTAAGCATCCTGCAGTTTTGATGTCGTCATTAATCAAGTGAATTTCATTATTTCCTTCCTCAGTGTGAGAATCATTTTGGAATTTAATTGCAGAAATGCAACGGCACAATTTTCCCATAAACAGTTACCCTCCAGTTGCCCTTGTCACGCATCTCATTATGAAAGAAACAAAAAATGTGATGCAGAGTACAAAGATGGGACTGATTGTTTATTGTTTTCTTCTCAGGGAAGACAGCCTTTCCTCCTGCACCTACTGTCACTTTACAAAGTGTTTTGCCCTGAACTGGTGACACTCTCCATTCCATCACGGATGAAGGTTTGTACCTAAAACATACTTGCTCTTGGAATACGACCATTCTCTGGAAAACAAAGCAAACATGGTGGTTTTCATCTTTTGTTGCAGAGTGGGTTTAGGAACCACATTTCTCCCTGGCAATCAGCATTGATTGCTGTCCAGAAGAGGAACGGTTTGCAAGGCGCTTCCAGCATGAGTCTGGTCACAAACAAGGATAAAACCAACCCAAGAAAAAGGGTATGCATCTTTTATTGGGTTTGTAGCCAACCGTCAGCTACTGCTGCTGCCTGACAGTACCTTCCCAGCTTTTCAATTGTTGGAGGTTCACATCAGTGTGTACTTTATTTGTGCCAGCAAAAAAAATTGGCATATTTTCATTCAGATGTACACTGCAGATCATTTTCTTGATTACTTTGTACATTTTCTTGTGCTGCCTGATGCTTTTTTCCCTTCCGTTCATTATCATTGTGTTTTGAACTGTTAGTCAAAGGAGATACATAATTATTTGTATTCAAGAAGTTTATCATGATTTTAACTCCTTTGCTTTTTACTTTCTGCTTCCTTCTTAGAAACACTGCCACCTGGAATTTCCTGCTTTGATTCCTGCACTGAACAAAGAAGCTCAGTCTGAGCAGTCCTCCAGCAGAAGGATGGTCCCACTGGTGGAGCTCCACTCTTTTGCTCAGCTGTTGGAAAATATGCATCGTATAGAGGTAATTTCTCCTGTGATAAATCTCAGAGTTCTGCATCTGTCGAGTGCCGACACTGGGGAGGCATCTTGATCTTTCGCTGTGTTGCTTCCTCTTATCTAGTTCAATTTTACAGATCAGCTGTAAATCATTTCAGCAACAGAATATAATGTATTCTAGTTGGCCACTGAAGTGTCCCAGTAAATCAGATGCAGCAGGAAAATGAGAATCCCTTCTTCCTAACTACCAAGAAACACCAGCAGTGATGACAGCTGTCAAAGGAACACTGCGGTCTCAGGATGGACTAATAGTGAAGCAAAAGACAAATCTATGATCTAAACTACTAACATGGAATTAAGAGAAAAGAGAATATATAATGAAAATTACTTTTTCACTTTTAGAACAAGTACACTGGCTACTTGAATGGATGGCAAGAACTTGTGGCTTAAACGGGCTTTATACTTTTTGTGTCTGCTTGGGTCCCTATCATGTAAATTTCCTCATTGAAGAGTGAGTGCAAGGAACTCATCTGTGGAGAACTGATATTATAACTCGTCAACTATGCATGCGCCCAGGCAGCAAGTTTAAAGTGGACTTGGACGAAGTAAAACAGGAGAGAATACTCTGTCGTGAGGACTCCAGCTGTCTGTGGCTTTAAACAGGCTTTTTCATAAGGAATATATATGTAAAGATGCAGCATCTCATGCTGAGCCCCCACAGCAGGTTCACAAGAAAGGCAAAAGAGAAAGAGAAGTCCTTTTTAAGGGGTCTCATAACAGGCGTATAACAAAAATACCAACTTCCTCAGGTGACTACTTACATTACAGAAGTGGTTTTTTTTGTATTAAGAAGTTTCTTTTATGTTTAAATATGCAAACTGGGCATTGCCAGTTAAATTATGCGTGTAAATTGGCAAGAAATCCTGATCTTGGATCAAATCCCATTTAAGTCACCAGTTCAGCAGGCTTTGAGGGACTCAGTAAAAACTTTCAGCGCATAGACATCAAATTGGAAAGTTTGGATATGCTACTGAAGTGAGGATTTTTGGATCAGAGTACAAGTATTTATAGAATGTTATACAATTATAATGTACTAGTAAAATAAATTCTTTACTTAAATATACACTTGAAGCGTCACCATTTGATTACATACACAAAATCCAACATTATTACTTTGCTTAAACAGCAGAGAAAGTGCAGTAAAAATATCTAAATGTGTATTTTGGGCATTTATTTTCACAAGTGGGAAAGAAGACATGTTATTGATGCAAAATGGCACAACACCTCAAGTCTGACTGGTCCATAAGAATTTTTTTCCCTTTAGTAGCTGTGTTTAAATTGTGATATATCCTCTGGGCCACAGGGTGGCGCTGTGTTACTGTTGTATTTGTATGAGTTTGTTGTGCTTGGCCATTAAAAACTTTGACCTAGAGAAACCACAGCGTAAGTGGCCTGTGGCTGTTTATTATATTAGAGCACAAACTGACTTCATGAGCAGAGTGCTTGTCATTTGTTTTTTAAACAGGCTGTTGCTTTTTTATTTTTACAGATATCATCAGCGTGTTATTTGTCCTTTATGAGTAATGAAAGCAAGGGATGTTAGTGGAGATGTATCCGAGTAATGCATTGGACAAAGTTGCAAAGCAAATGGTCATTTAGAGAGGCCTCTCCATAAATGTCTATTTGCCCTGCAGATTCAGTGACCTGATAAACCAATGTAAGTCATTTTAAAAGGATTGCAGGGTTTTATGCGTCATGCTACATAAATTCACCTCTTTCACTGCCCACAAAGCAAACGTGGACAATAAGGCTTGGAGGGCGTTGGTGCCAAATGTGTTTATGGCAGGGAGAGTGGTGCTTTGCCACGTGTTAGGAAAGACAGATGAGTACAATCAATTTCCCTCATAAAACTATTCGGTTACGGCATTGACAAAGGATCATTGATTATTTCCCTCACGGCCGGCGCTCTTGTTGTCAAAAGCAGAATGGTGCTTTCTCAGTTTAACGATACAGTTGCTCCATAATTACTGAAGAGCTGAGTTGTGTCCATTTACAGTCTGTCTTTCTCTCATTCTAATTCGTGTATTAAATTGACAAAGTCCCCATATTGAGAGGCAGCTGTTCAGCCACAATAAGGGACTGTATAAACTATCCAGTGTGGTGGAAGAAGTGTCCCAGTACTGCCATTATGGGGATTACCAGATACCGAGGAACTGGCTTAAAATTAGATTGGTGGCCAACCCTGTGATAAGGACACGATCATCTGTTGGTTCTTACACTCTTATTTATTTCAGCTTCTGTGTTTGTTTATTTGTTGTTTGCTTCTGTGTACCTGTTGTCTTTATGTGTCTTTCTGGTTATTTTAGTTTCTTAATCATAATTTTGCTTCATGTGTTTCCACCAGCTGCCTGCTCAGATGGGCTCGCTGCTGGGTTCCAGTCTGGCGCTGCAGTACCTGGACTGTGTGCAGGATGAGTCTGCCCTCCTTCGCCTCAATTTCTGGTTAGGCTACGCTTTTCACGAAGGTAAGTCGGGAACACACACTACACACTACATAACTGCTGTGACATGTTCTTTCTAGAAGTTAGAGGAAAAGCAGAGCTGACCTTGAGCTGAACCCCAACATAACTTAACTTTGTTGCCATGTTAAAGGGATTCTTTTACAGAAGGGTTTAAAGACATATGAGAGTATGTCTCCGTGTGAAGATGCAGTGCATCTGAAATCTCCTGCTGTCCTCTTTGTAGTGCTCTGAATTTTTCACGCAGTAAATCCCCTTTTTGACTGTATTTTTTAAAGAGTTTTTATTCTGTGGCGATGGAGGACCCAGTCAGACTTCAGAAGAAGCTCTCCAGTTTTTGAACAAGTTGCTGTCTGCACAGCACTTTCTGCAGGTGAGCCCCTGATAGCGACGTCCACAGCTCACTAACATCGTCATTATTTCTGATGCTCATTAACCTGGCGCCACACGCGTACCTGATACGTGCTGTGTACCAACGCTGAGCCAAAGATTTATTTCACATCATAATTTTCTCCAACAGGAGGGCTTTTCCAGTTCAGAGGTTTTCCTCTATAAATTTCTGAATGTTTGGGACGGCTCACTACTCCGTCCGCAGATCCTCGGCCTGCTGAGCAACATTCCGGTTGTTCCAAGTTCCCGTGAGTGTTACCTCCACAGATCACTGCTTTCTATGACCGTCTTTCTTCACAGCTCAATTTTCTCTCCTTATGTCTGTCAACGTACACTTACATAACACAGGTTTTCTCTCTGACCTTGTCGTGCACTTGAATAAAATCACAGTCATGTTCTCATCTTAGCAAGCTGTCATTTTGTCCTTTATGTAGGGAACTGTAACGCATTGAATTGTACGTCAGGTACAATAGTGACCTTTTGTCTCCCCCTTCAGAGATCAGAAGGCTTCTGTTTGAGCCTCTCATGCAGCTTTTCTTCACATCCTCGCTGTTTTTCAAGGTAGGCTTTTCTTTCGCAGACACAAACAGATCAAACTTGCTCCCATTACTGTTCAAAGTTATTAGAAAAAAAAATGCAGTAATGAAAAACAGCACAACAAAGCCCTTGTGTAGTTCAGTGTTTAACATGCTGCATAATTGGTTCTTTTTCTCTCTTTCGTGTTTGTATCTCTGCAGTGTGGACTGATGGAGTGTCTTAACAATATGCTGTTGAAGTGGTTGACCTGGCACTCCATTTATGCTCTGGAAGACGACCTGGACATCAGCCTCAACAGCCACACGTCCATGTGAGTTTCACATCTGTTCAGTTATATTTAGTTCCATGTATATAGCGTGTTTTCTGAGCAATAGTCACTTCAAGGGAAGTAAACCTGGATGATTTAGCAATCTGACGTTAGCATGCAGTAGAAAGTAGGGAGGAAGACAGAGTCCTGCAGCAGAATCGGGCTCAGGGAGGGACAGCCACTTGATTTATTCCAAAATCTGAGATATGTTGAATAGAAAATCCAAAAAAACGTGAAGACCCCAATAAATGGAAATCTAATACGATTCCCTAAGGAGAGCATTGTGGTATGCAGAGGTAAAAATCCTCCCTGGTTTCAGATATTATAGAACGTGTTCAGCTGCATAACCAGTAAGCGATGCAGAGGTCACGATCCATTAATTATCAACATCCATTTAACACATCCTCAGTCATTTGGATGACCTCTGCATCAGCTGATGGAGGAAACAAACAGTGTGTTGATTCAGACAGCAGACATCAGTAATGACAAATTCCCTACGCAAGTGAAATGGACACCTTCCAACAGCGAGTGGTTCATTACTCAAGCCAGATAAACATTCCTGTGCAGTAACATGTGCAGGACTACTCCCCTTTTCAATCACTAGTTCAACCCTTCCACATTTCTTCTTACCTTGGAGATAAATGTCCCTGAAAAATCCTGAATCCAGGTACAGTCACACTGTGGTCGGGGATGTATGAGTGTGTCAGTGCCTCGCTGCAACACTCCATGAAGCACATCAAACTCCACTCTCTGTGTTCCCCCGTGGGGCTCAGTCAGCTCACCGCACTCATCCATAGTACTGTCCAAACACCTCACATTCTCCACGATGATCGCTGGAACAGCTCCTGCTCTGAGACCCCGTTGTTTTCTCCGTAGCTTCTCCAGGATTACAGGCTTTGCTCGTGGAAGTAAAAACTGTCAGCACGACCAACAGCTGAAGACAAGGCAGAGGAAAATACAAACACCAGGAACAGCAAACAGAACAAAACACAAACTACAGGAGAGTGCAGACAGAAGTTAATGGCTTACAATAGTGAGAAATTCGTAGAGGAAAGAAAAGAGAGGTATCGAAACAAAACACTCAATACATCATGGGAAGTTTCGCCTGAGCCTGTAGGAGTATAAGCAGTGGATGGTTCGGTTTAAACCGTAACTATAGGCTTTATCAGAAAGGAAAGTTCGAAATTATTAAGAGGTCTTTAAAATATGATGATGTAATTTGATCATTCGAGGGTTTGTATGTAAATGATTTTGAATGTAATCCTAGATTTGGAGAGCCTTTAGAACAACCTGATGATATGGAATTATAGATTTTCAGCCTAGAAGTTAAAAAAAAATATATCCATGATATAGTTTTTCACTGTTGCTTTGAGATGGGATTTTGTGAATATTGGTAGAACTGCAAAGAGAAAGAAGCCAGACCTCAAGCTTAAGTTTATTAGGGAGTGAATGACACATCCTGCAGGCCAAGTAATGTAATACATAGCCGGTATCTGGTTAGACACCCATGTTCTGAGAACTTAAAGTGCCAAATATGATAACCTAGTTATAAAATTACATCTGCTTCCTGCTTTCTTGATGCTTGAAACTTGTACTTTGTGTCACGAAATGCTTTCTCATAGAAGTTGGCTTTTTATTTATTGTGCCTTAATTGACTAATTACTTTTCCCCAAGGACAAAACAGAGTAGTTTTAATTTTGATTATTGGCAAATTAAGGTAAATGTCAAGTCTCTCGTTGCAACTTGTTAAAAAATTCTTGATTACGTTAAATCTTGAAAGACAACTGACATTTGTATATGTTGCAACTATTTATCTTGAATTGAATCCATCTGTTATCCACTGGCAGCTAAAGCAAATCAGGCGGAAGTCTTTATTGTATGTTTTCCCTTTGGGTTTTGAGCTCGTTTATACAAGTCCTTTATTTGAAATTTGTTTGGGAACAAGTGGCACCTTAATATCCAGGGAAACGATTTTCTAGCTTCCAAACTGAAGGGTGGCGTACGAGTCAATTATGTTTAAATGCCTGAGCTTCATCACTTGTTTAATCCTGCAATAAATGCCTTCAGTCAGTGGAAAGATCCATTTTACTCAGTGCCATTTCCAAGTTCACCTGTGGTATTTACCCAGTGTACAACTCATTGAAGAAATCATTGATCACGCATTGTGTTTGTATCTGTTTGATTCAGTGTTTGTCATTTGTGTTTGCAGTGAGCTGCTTTGGATAGATTCCTGTGTTTTTATATGAAAAACTGCAACAAAGTTTCAAAGGACATGAGTTAAATGCTGTCACAGGTGTCATTTAACATCCGTTTTGGGTAAAGTGACTCTCTTTTGCCCTGTGTTCCAGAAACATGACTCTGTCGGGGTTTAAGGATTCGGTGATGGAGCTGATTCACTTTGTGGGTCGACTGGCCTCTGTGGGCCTTCAGCTTGAAGGCTGTCACTGTCTCCTCCTCAGCTTCGTCCTGGACTTCTATGAGACGGTAAAAAAAAGAAGAAGCTGGAGTTAATGATTTTATCTGTCTTGTCATAATCTGTGTTTGCGATTTGTTATTGTCTCTATATAGTGACACAAAAAATAAAACATCCTCGAGATGTTTCACCACCCCTACCTTGCAGAATGATGGTATTTGTAGGGTCTGACACCTTAAAAACACAAGCCCAGTCTTATTTAGCAAAATGCAAGTAGAGGGACAGAACATGAGATTCCCTGAACAGCTTTAAAGATCAACTTGTAGCAGAGCACACTCTTTCTAAAAGGTTCAGGGGGGATGCATATTCTATGTCTGAGCCTCTGCTTTAACGTTTTTAATCTCTGTGGGTGTTTGTTACATGTTTTTCTCCTCCCGCAGGTTTGTGACACATTTCTGAAGTATGGCCTCCCTCTCATAGTGATGCCTCCAGCTGGAGTCTTTTACCCAGCCCTGTTTGCCACTGACCCCGTCAGCGTGGACCGACTGGCCTACATCATGCACAGGTGGGTGCTCAGCACCTCTATGGGAAGCTGCCATAAGCTTATCTTAATGCATACATTAGCAATGCCCTAAATGTAGTATGTCATATGCTGCTTATACATATTTGATAAAGGGACTGAATTGGAATCAAATGGCTTAATTGAACTTGCATGTTAAGGCATTATTAATGATGGAGGCCAGGGGGCAATACCCTAAAGCCCAGATTCTTTCCTTACGTGGAATTCTAGTATCATTTATAACTCCAGGCTTTAATAACACACGTCCTTATAGCCTAACTAATTGAGTACACCCTGGGGTCTTAAAATAATTTTACCAAAGCTAAGAGTAAAAAGCCGTGACTCCAAAATTAAAACGTAATTGCACGGTGTGTTTTGACTGACCATAGAGAACTGGCTGTTGTGCAGTGATTTATGAGCACAGAGGCCACTGGTTCATTGCTTTTATTTATTTATTTTTCTTCTATTTTCATCAGGTACAAAGTGAACTTGACATCAGCCAAGAGCCAAGAGAAAGTGACAGAGGTAAAGATTGATGCTTATTGTTTTTGTTATGTGAAAATGAACATGTGAACAATATTATACATTAATTTTCTGCTTTAATGTTTTAGTCGATGCTCTCTCTGTGTTTTGCCCCTTCATTCACTTTTGTAGATTTAATAGTAAAGCTCTTTAGGAGCATCTACTTAAACCTGGTGACTTTAATATCTTCTCAGATGTGAACTTAAAGTTGTCCTTTATTACAGCAGTCACTGTGAGCTGCGAATTTGAAAGTACATGTCAGTCAAGCCAGTATGTGTGCCTGAAAATGTCATTGGCAGCCTTTATGAAGTAAAACAGCCTTGGTAAATGGTATTCAGATTAATCATCACAGCATCAGATCTCTGTAGTTCGGCTATACTCTTACTCCACTTTCTTAGTTTCTCCTTTTGAAATGTGCTTCTCAGCAGGCCTTTCACATCAGCCGCCAGACTTTCCGTGAGTTCAACCACTACGTCGTCGTCATGGTCAACTGCCTGTGGAACTCCAGAATGTTTCATCCAGGGATGGGCGTACAGCTGGGAGAGGAGCTGCTTCTCAAGAGTAACGTGCCACAGTACGGGTCGAGCTTCGACCTCGTCCACCATCCCGCCTTCATGAGCTACGCGGTCAACTTTCACCAGAAGGTGAGTGCGCGGCATTTGTTTTTTGATTTGGGTTGAATCCTACATGCTACAGTAAAACCCATGCTTATTTTCATACCGCACAGGGAATTTGAATCAGCAGGCACCGCGGTTATTCATCTTACAGACCAGCTAAATGTGGTGTTAATGTATCTTTCACAGATGATGCATTAATACAGAAGGAGATTTTATTATTAATGAGTGCAGCGTGAGATGGGGTTTTTCATCAAGTTTAATAATATCCGCACCTTTTTTATTTTTTGGTTGGGTCCAACTGCATCATCCAGCAGTGATCCTGTGAGATTCACAAAGGCTGGCTGTCGATAAATATTAATGTTCTCTTTTCATCAGTGTTGGCCGGAGAAAAAGGACATGGACCTCAATTCCATAAAGGTATGAGAGGTTCCTTTTCATTTCCCTGCATTTATAATAAAGTTCAGGTGTAGTTTGATGTGCATCGGTCATGTTTCATAGATTAATAGAGACATCTTTGATCACACAAATCTTCAGATGTCTGCAATCTGACCTGACATGTTTCTGTGTGTGTGTGTTTCAGCACTCCAAGCCATGGACTTGGTACCTGGAGTATTTGTTCACTCAGGGCTATGACGGCCTTAAACATTTTGTTCAGAGTAACATCAGCTGGCAGCTGAAAGCAGACGATGGTCAGGTTGACGCACAGCAGAGGTAGAAGCTGAACCCGGCGGAGAAGAAAAAAAAAAGCGCCAACTCGCTTCTTATATCCCCCCTTTTTAAAAAAGACTTGTACATATTTTTCCCCTCGCCTCTTCCAAGTGTGCGAGTAGTTTTTATGTAAATACATTTATCTGTCCTTATTGTCTTGTACATTTAACAATGATGGCATAATGTGTTTTTTTTCCCCTTGTACAGCTTGTCAGCTGCAAACCTATTAATTGCACTCTTGAAAAATAAATAAGTGTAAGACTTTTCCTTTTTTATGCAAATAAATAACACCTGTTGTTTCTAAAGAACACAGCACTCACAGTTCATAGTTTATTTTAAAATAATTTAAATCCCTGAGTTTTGCTTCTTTCTCGTGAATTCTAGTCCACCATTATAAAATGGTATTTGTCTAATTTCGGTGCGAGCCAACCTGGATCATACCCTACTTGTATTTTTTTAAAAATGCTTTAAAACAAAACAAAAGCACTACGTGGACTTGAAGTTTCTTCTTTTTTTATTTTATCCTAAGTCAGAATCTTGAATGTTTAACTTCTGTTGTGCTCGTGTGTGTATATTGTCCACATTTCTTCATTTCCAGATAATTTTGAAGTTTATTGAAGAAAATACTTTCTAAAAGCAATTGAAAAAAACTCCCACATACTCAGTGCTGAATTCTTTTTTTTTTCTTTTTATTTCAGTTTTTTGGTTATACCCTATGAAGGTTGGATAGAACCCAGTTTGCAGGATAATTTGAAAAATTCAGAGAACTGCCTGAGCTCAAGTGGACCCTTGGGAAAAAAATTTCGAACTGAGCACAGTGTATCTTGGTTATGCAACAAATTATTAATTTCATCATTTGTTGAGGAAATGAAAGCTCACTGACTCAAACCCCGTGGTTGCATCCTTGGAGTGCTGTGCATGGTGCAGTGTGTTGCGCTCAACAGTACTTTATATTTTCTTTCATTTTTTTCTTGTACCTTTACAGATCACATACTGATATAAACATGGCCAAAGTTTTGAATAATAAGGTCAGTTTATATGAAAATAATCCCTAAATGCTAAGTTTATCTATGGTTTGTTCTACAGAGTGTTTAGAGAGGAATACCCTTTTTTAAGGTAGATTCTTGGCCTTTATTGCAATAACATAAAAAAATCTGGGCAAAGGATCGAGCAAGGTAAATTCAAACCAGGTGTCCGAATTAGCCTTTGCCATATGGGTCACCTGCGCTACCAAATGAGCTAAACCGGCATCCAAGTGGGGATATATTTACAGTGACCCTCTCAGGCACACAGCAAACTCCAACTACAGAAGCCCCGCCCACCTGCTGTTCAAATCTTCTGTTTGACAGGGGCAGCCAATCAGAGAAAAGTTGGTTTAAAGGGTGACTAGCGTTTATTTTGAACTGTTGATCATGCAAAGCTAATCTGTTGGTTTCCAAGAATAAAATATAAGGCTGGAAATGAGCATAGTAGTTCTCCATTAATGTTAGAAGTGCGCCATCCTTTCCGTACTTATGGACCTATAACAGAAAGGTTTATGCTCATTGTTTGCTGATATTTTGTGGCTGACATAACCCAGAACTGGGTTGGAAGGAAAAACCGAAAGTCAGAATTTTGTTTCACATCTTCCAGGCTTGACTGAAGTTTTGGGTTTGCTGTAAAATGATGAAGAGTTGCGGAGCTGTGCGCGCTCTCTCAACCTTGAGCTAAATGACTTCCTGAGCTCTCTTTGGACGGCTCCCATTCAGCTCCCACCGATCCCCCACCTCGGCTCCAACAACGCAAGTTTTCTATTACAGTTTCATTTTATTCGCAGCTTATAATCTTTACTGCGATAGTTAAACCGGGCGCCTGGAAGCCTCCCCGCGTGTGCCGTGTCGCTGATGTGAACGAGCGGAGCCACCTTAAAGCAGCCCTCTGATGTCAGCGTCAGAGGCACAGACTCCGCCGCCGGTACAGCGCTGCGCTGCTCCGCCGTTTCAAATCTTCTGCGCTGCTGCTCTCCTCACTTTCTTCAGCTCATGTCGCGGCTGCATCCACCGGAGTAGCTCATTTATTTCAGCGTCTTCTTCGCCAGCAGCTGAGCCGTGTCAGTCCAAGCTGAGCCAAATCCTCGCTCCAGGGAGAAAAAGGTAAGATTGTTGTTCAAGGGTTCTTCTTCTTCTTCTTAAGTGATTACTGCAGGAAATGTGTTCAACCGGTTACCCTCACATTCAGAGCAAACAGAGGAACGCGGTGTTGACAGTAACTGGCTTCTTAAATTGCCTTTGGGTTACTCTTGTGCGTGTTGAGATGGAAACTGGCTGTGCTGCTGCAGTTGAGTACTGGCCATCGTCCTGGTCGCAGTCTGCCAGATTTATTTTTAAAACCAGACATCTGTGTGATGGATGAGGTTTGCCGGATGAGCTTCAGGGCTACAACCTGTGTATGCACAGTGTACGCGCTCTTCTGACCGGTGGAGCTGCCAGATCAAAAGGTGTCGGGCGTTTAGGCAACCTCTACTGTTCTTTTGACTTTTCTCGCCTCTTCTTCTTTTGAATGAATGAATGAATGAGGCTGTGCACAGACCACATTTTTTTATCAATTCATTAACTGCGAAGGAAAGGAAGTAATTTCAAAGACAGTGATTAAGTGTGCGCTCAGCGCTTGTTTTGTGGAGCTCACAGGAAAAGAGCCTGTCAGATCCCTCTCCTCTTCCCCTGCAAGTTGCCTCTCGAGTGTCGCTTTCTGCAGGGAGGGAGAAAGAAAGAAAAATTTATAGGGCTTTTCTGCCTCATCAGTTTGTATGGGTGGAGACTGACGTGTGATGGCAGGCTGAGGTGTTGAGCCGGATTTGAACTCTGGATGTCGCGAGTAATTATGGTTACAATTACACGGTGTGCGTCTTAAGCCCCGAGACTCCTTTCAGGGCCCCAGAATGCAACACAGTGTGGGATAATTTAGGGAATATATTTGGAGGAGAGGAAGGTAATCCTGTGCGCTTCCGTGGACGTGACAGCAGCAGCAGCAGCCTATATTTAAACCCAAATGTCAACCAAATGAAATCCCCACTAACTAAATGACATCTGAACCCGCTCTTACTGCCGAGCTGACTGACAGGTGTCAACACAAACTACGCTAAAGTTTATTTTTTCGATTTTATGACACGTTTGGCATATTTTGGCCTCAATTTTAGTTTTCATTTATGGATATTATGCATTATTACTGACTGACATTGCCTCAAAAATCTGCCATATTATCACTGCTCCTGTGTCCACATTCTGGCTGTGATGGCTATTCTAAGAATCAGTTAAATATAAAAAAAGAATCTTGGTTTTCAACATCAAAAGCCTTGCTCTCCCTCATTCTTACAAGGCCGGTGATATTTTCTTTTATTCCTTTCCTTTCATCTGTGATCATAAAGCCCGGTAACTCTTATTCATGGCCCAGCCCAGGTTGAAACTGAATGTCTCTCTGAGCTTTAAATGGTTTATTTTGCTGGTAAAGAAAAAGAGCCGCACAATATTTCTCTCCCAAAAGGGCTTGGAGTGACGTCCTATCTCAAAAAGGAATTTCATCTTAAAATGGCTTTAATGTTGTCATTCTGCAGGACCTTCCAGCTATATCAATCTGCATTCACTCGGAGCATTTTTATGGTCAGTAACCTTCCTGTACTTACACTGAAAGAGCATTTTCCTCCAAGCACAAAGGCTATCAGAAGCCCATCAGATGTTTTTTTTTCTTTCCCGAAATCCAATTTGATTTGATGACAGGATTGCACAGCTTTTGATCTTGAGCACAGCTGCAAAACATCTGTAATATTAAAAAATAAATCCACGTAGCGGGCTTAATAATGGTAGCATATGCCCTAGCAGCTCACGTATCGTGTGCTTCTCTTTTGTAGTCAGATTTAGCAGAACTCTTAAGGCTCCACGCAGTGATGAGCTATAATTGTGAAAGACTCTAAAAGGACTATGAGCGTGTTCTATTTTCAGCGCCTTTCTTCTTCTGCATGCCTGCTGGTCATGTTTCATGTTATGCATTTTCCACACTCTCCCTCAAGCTGTTTTCAGCAGAATATAGATGAAATCATTCAGCGTCTTCCTGTTTTAATGTCATTTATTCATTCTGGAGAGGACGGCGCCACTGCCGCTGTGTCAGATAATGTAAAGGTTGGGGTTCCCAACCTTTTATATCTGCTACGCACTCGCAGCCCTGTCAGCTGAAGTACTTCTGAAGTACCTCTTCCCTGACACCAGCCGTCATGTTGCATGCAAATATGTGGATTTGAATTCATGTCAAACAATTGGTTTGGCCACATTTACAACCGCTTGGCTGTACAGTCTCTTGGAAAGCTATCTTATTCAATCAGTGAATCACGACTGTTACAGTTGTTAATCCATTTGGGATGCTTTTAGTAGCGTTTAGAACCATTTATGCATTCGTTTTTAGATATCAAACAGAAACAATTTTCATTACTTTTGGGGAATTTTTTGAGACATTTGACTTTTATCCTTTTTAGAAGTCTACATTAACAGGTTTGACACTCTCAACAGCATGTGATGGATAAATTGTAAAAGGTTGTAAATTCTTTTATTTCCATGCATCCATGCTCAGTAGCACACCAACCCTGGCTGGGAATTAGCATTTTTTTCCTTCTGATTTGTACAACTTTTCACAGTTTTGGGAGGGTGCAAGGTTAATCCAAAATCAAAGAGGAGAGCTGATGCCTTTCATGGTTTGTTTAAATCTCCTCTCATGAATCCTAAGAATGTATTTCGGGATTGCATTATTTATAATGTTATGTAGGAAGCAAACTGTGTTAAAGATTGTCTCGGGCGTGTTTTTTATTCTCTCTCCTTTTTTAATTCAGGAGAGTGATCTGAAAATGTCATCCTCTGTTAAAGTCTGCCCCGGGTCTCCAGTAACTCTAGCAGAGCGTTAAGAATTAGCAACCTACCAAGTGCTGTAGTGACATTGCATATTCTTATCCAGAAGATTTTTCTTTGTTTACAATGAACAAGGGACTGTAGGTCAGATTCAGATGCTGTGATCATGAATAATCAGTCTGGTCTCGTATTTTCTTTCTACTAAGAGGAACATTGAGATGAATTTACAGGTTGAGACCTCAATAGTACCTCGTGGAGTTGAATTGGACAGAGTGCTTTTGTGATTTTATTAGCACTGACCATATTTCTGACCTTATTGATATCACCTTGCTCTCCAGTGGGCAAGATGAGGACCTCAGTGATTTGTTTTCCATGCTGCCAG